AGTCGGAGCCGATTCCATGGCACATAACAACAACAACAACAACAACTCTGCACAATCACATCAGCCTCATCTCCAAAGAATTCCTCTACCTTCCCTTCAAAAGTACCAACTATTCTGTGGGAGAATGATGAGGCGTTCTGCTCCCGTAAAGATTTACAGCCTCAGAAACCCTGTACAGGGTCACTGTGAGTCGGAGCCCATTCCATGGCACATAACAACAACAACAACAACAACTCTGCACAATCACATCAGCCTCATCTCCAAAGAATTCCTCTACCTTCCCCACAAACATACATTATCCAGGCTGTAAAGTTCTACACAATTATAGTGATTCAATCATAAATTGAGCACTGAGCTTCCTTGTAGCCAAAGCAAAAAAGGAAACAAAACCACTGTAACAGTTGAGTAAAGAGGAGGAATCAGTTAGGTCCAGAGTGGTCATAGAAGGCTTTAGGGGAAGGTAGGAGTTTTGTGAAGAAAGAAAAGTATCTGACTAGCTAGGTGGGGGTCCCTTCATGGAGCTGAGGGTCTGAGGCTGTCCCTCCACAGGGCCGCCCTGAGTGACATGGTGGGGCTGTGGGAGTCCGTGCAACAGCAAGGGGAAACCAGACTGCTCCGGGCAGTAGAGGACAAGTTCACCATTGAACCTTTCAAGGCTGAGTCGCCGAAGGACGTGGAAGAGCTGGCCAACCTCGTGCGGATCCAGAGGTGAGTGGGAGAGGAAAGTGGGCAGCACTCCTGCCGGCCATGCAGGCTGAGGAAGTGCAGGGCGCAAGGTCAACTTTTTCACTGGCACTTTCAGGGTCCTCTCTCTTTGGTGGTATCCCCTAGGCAGTGGCAACCCAGAACCTCTCACTGCAGTGAGCACCCGGGCAGAGAGCCCCTAAGACTTAAAGCTTTGCCCCATTTAAGACTCATCACCCCAGGCCCAGTATGTATCCTTAGCCAGAACCAGAGGGGCGCTGTCATGAACAGTACTAAAGGTACACAAATGCTTCGTCTCACAGTTGGGAGGCCAGGAGTCTACGTGCAAGGAGTTAGCAGGGCCGCGTTCCCTCTAAAGACTCAGGGGGAGCTCCTGCCTTGCCGGGCCCAGCTTCCGGTGGCTCTGGCCATCTTTGGTGCTCCTTGACTTGACTGCACCTTTGTTCCGTCTGCTTCTGTCTTCACTTCCTGGGGGTCTTTCCTGAAAGGACAGCAGTCATTGGATTTAGAGCCCACCCCGCTTTAGAATAAGGAGCCCTGGTAGTGCAGTGGGTAAGGCATTGGACAGTTAACTATACAGTCAATAGTTCAAATCTATCAGCTGCTCGGGAGAAGAAAGATGAGGCTTTCTGCTCCTGTAAAGGTTTATAGCCTCAGAAACCCTATACAGAGTTGCCATCAGTTAGAACCTACTTGGTGGTACACAGCCTCTGCCATGACTCCACAATGACCTCATGCTAACTGATAACATCTTCAAAGTCCTTATTTCCAAACTAGGTCACATTCACAAGTACCCTGGGAGGTGGCTTAGCACTTGAACGTACCTTTTTCATGGGCATGGTATTCAGTCATGGAGTCCTGGTGTGGTGCTGTAGGATGAGCACTGAACCGCAAGGTCTCTTTGAACTGCAGTGTCTGTGGTTCAAATCTACCAGCTGGAACCCCTGCCCAGGGTCGCTATGGGTCGGAACCAACTAACAGCAGCAGGAGCAGCAATTCAGTCCTAAAGAAGTTCTTCCTGCTTGGCGCGATGATGCCCATTCTGCATCTGGTGACAGAAGGGACACCTCCAGCCAGCTGCAAGGAAGCCAGGCCCATCTCTGCCCTCATTGTATAGATGGCTGAATGAAAGGTCAGAGAGCAGAGCACAGGCTAAAAGCCTCTCACTCATTGGCCACACATTTGAGCTCCTACTACATACTGTCTGGGATTGGTGCCGCTAAGTGCCACTCTTAGCCTCTTTTCACAAAATTCAGTCATCCCTGAAGGAGGTCTTTGTCCTAAAATCCCCCAGGGCAGCATTCCTCCTGGGGAACTTTGGCTGCCAAGGCAGGTGCTGTGGAGCAGGTAGGTGGGGGCTCCGCTCCAGGTGCAGAGTCTGCTCCGTTCTAACGGTGCCTCTTCTCTGTGTAGCACAAGAAGCCCCTCTGAAGATGCCGCTGACCAGCTGCCTGCTGTCCGGAACCTAAAGAAGTTGGAGTTTGCGTAAGTAAAGGGGTGTTTTTTCTCAACGTTAATTTGAAAGGAGATGTGTCCTCAGAATCATTCTTTTTTATTTTTTTTTCTGAAGTTTTCATTGTGAATTAAGTGAAAGTTTACAGGGCAGATCATCAGTTTTACATTCAACAAATCATATACCTTGTTTTATTACAATGATTATGATCCCTTCCATGTACCGTCAGTTAACAGTATTTCTCTCTATTCATTTTAGCTCCTTTTTTTTTTTTTTTAAACACTCAGGCATATATAATAATTTACACCACCAAAGGGCACATTCTGCAAGCCTGCCTCCTGGCCGCCAGCTCTTAGTCCCTCTCTTCCCATGAATCTAGAGTCCTCAGCTGCTCCCTCTCTCCATGTCCACATCTTTGTCTGCATCTCTGGTGTGGCTGCTTCTCTGGATAAAGTCCTGCATTCTGCTTCTGCTCTTCTCCCTTGATGGTCCTAGGGTCCTCTGTTTCTGGACTGTAAGATTAACTACTTTCCCATTTTTGTTATAAAACTTC